TAAATAATTTATATGCTGTAATTTAAGTTGTGGATAATTAGAAACGGCAAATGATTATCATCTTCTTTGTAAAAGCTTTGGGACTTCCATACTTGCCTTAGATTTATCTTGTCTGAAAAAAAGGTCTGTCAGTGTTTGCGTGTATAATTGTCTTATAGAGTGGTATTTATAAATGTCCCCAAATATCTTACTGTGTGCAGGGCAGGAAGACTGAAAAGGACAGGCACAAACAGACGTTAAAGGAAAATACATACTGCTTATTGTTCAGCACCACTTCCTGTTATATCAGTCAGCATGCTGTTAGTTAAATAACAGTGACAATAAACAATTTTATATAGGCTTTAATAGAAAAAGTTCCATTTGCCGCAGCAATACTGGATATGTGAGACTTTAAATTTACGTCAACATGGATGTCAGAATAAAATCAAAAACTAAAATGTACTGTAACACATTAACAAACTATATTTATTGACACTTGTTTTAAATTAAGGTGAATATGTGATGTTTTACCTTAAGGATACACTTGTGAGCCAAGATCATTTAAAAATACATATTAGACACCGTTAATGTGTTCACCTGAGATCAGTGCCCCCTTAGTGGCTAAGCAGGGAAATTTCACACCTAAACACTGATTTGAAACAAAATATTAAGCTTATTGTAAAGGTTAAAAAGTTTAATGAAGTACACTTTTAAAAGTCTACTTCATACTAAAAAAAACCCACCTTTTTGATGCATTGACGTCAAATATATTTCTAGCAATTTTATTGCAAAATATGTCAGTATACACAGCTATTTTAAATTTGAATTAAGAAAAAGTATTTTTGCAGCCATATGGTATAATTACCTACCAGCAGGGCCTAAATGCCATGCTAAACCTTGCCTTCTTGGTTTCTAAAGAAAGTATATCAGATATCACTGAAATGTACATTTATTTTATTTATTTACTTATTTATTTATTTACTTATTTATTATGAGCTGAAAAAACTGAGAAAACTGGAGATCTATAAATACTTGTTTTTTTTTTCTTCTGAAAAATCGTTTGAAAGAATTTTATTTAAATTTGAAAGACTAGCTGTGGGTATACCACAACATGTTTTACAAAATAACCAAGGCAGTTCAATAAAAACCTTTATTTTGTGGAAAACACAGTGATCAAAATGAGAGAACAGTAACCGCTGTAGCACGAAAGAAGATTACAACTACATTTCTGGAGGGTTACAGCTGTCAGAAATGAGTAGGAAGTGTAGAGGCCCCTGCTTTGAGTGACTTCAGCACATCTGCGGCCGCAGGACATCACTAGTTTCTCACACTGCGCTGGTGTGATCTTGGTCCACTCTTCTTCTACTCTCTTCCATAGTTCGGTAACTTTGTTGCCAAGGATTTTCCAGAGATTATCAGTTGGGTTTAGATCAGGACTCTGGGCCGGCCATTTCATTATTTCAGTGTTCTTGGCTTCAAGGAACTGCTTTAACTGTTTTGCAGTGTGACAGGGAGCATTGTCCTGCATGAAAATTGCAGGCTGATTGGGAAATGGTTGCAGGGAAGAAACCGCATGTTGCTGAAGAAGGTTCTTGTAAACATTTGCATTCATCATGCCATATAACTGTATAAGAGGCCCAACTCCTGCTGCAGAAAACATCCGCCAAACCACGACACTTCCTCCTCCACCTTTCACTGACTTCTCCACACAACATGCTCCTCAGCAAAGGTGAGCTTAGCCTTTTGATTATTTCTGCTGATGAGAGGCTTGCTCACGGCCAATGTTGGGCAAGTTACTCTGAAAATTTTATTAAATTACTGATTACTTAATATTACGTAATCTCCTTATAAAAGTAATCACGTTACTGTTCTGATTACTTTATTTCAAAAGTAATTAGTAATTAGTTACATTACTAGTTACGTTATTTTTTTCTCCATGAAATTCATGAAATCCCAGCATACACGCTCCCGATAAATATTTGTTATTAAAGCATCAACATTCACAGAACAGTTCTTTTTAACTAAAGGAAGCGGCTGCTGCGTGGCATGGTTTGGTATGGCAGAATACCAGCAAAGAGCGCTGCAGTTATAATCTCTAAAAGACATCTCAGTTCATCGCAATCTCACAAATCTGTTCTAACACAATAAATATAAGCATAATGAATCATTCATAATGTCTACAATTCGAGTGTTATAATGAGAGGATTCGTGAGCACGCAAATTTCAGCACTCAACGCTGCAAACACGTGTTACAGCCTAAATAGAAACTCTGTATAAACTTGCACCTGTTAATCGTTTATATTTTATATTAGTTCATGTTGCTTTTGTGCAATAGATGAATAACAATTTATTTGTTTTAGATATTTTATATTTTTAGATATTTCTATTTTGCGGGAGTCTCGTGAATCATTTTATTCTCCCGTATCCCGCACACACCCGAGTGTCTCTCACTCGCCTATCAAGTCTTGTCCCGCGCCAAACTCTGTTGCGTCGGGTCTCGCGGGAGAGCAGCTCTCTAATCCACGCACTTGAATCAACAGTGCGTGGGCTACATCCTTTTTACAGGCAGAGTGCGCTTTCAGTCTCACTTCTCTTAAATGTGCCGAGACAGATCCTTACCCCGTTCAGAACTGAACTGGCAAGCAATTCCAGCTGCAGTGTTGAACCGATTCCCCATGGAGAGTCTCCGCATTATCCTGTCTTCCCATGCATTTGTCTTACATGGATGACCAGTCTTTTTTTGGGGACTTGAATGAATTAGTTGCATTGTAAAGCTGTGATATTCTATCAATCACAGATTTAGAATGAGGTTTTCTTGCAGTGGCTGAAAGTGTCATCCTTTTAGCCTTCATTTGGACAACCTGCTGTCGCAGGGTTTCAGTCACCTTAGAGCGGCCCACCATCTTGAAATCTCAGTGAAAATTAGAGGAATGCTGCCAGTTAAATAGGTTTGTCATATAATTATGTGATATAATTCTCTAATTTTGATCAGAGTTCTTTTTCAAATATCTCATGCTTTAGAATACAATTAATTTATGAAATATGCTTAAAAAACTGCCCTTCTACTCATGTTAGGATAACTTCAAATAGGACTAAGCAGTGACCTTGAAATATAGGATATATGACAGTGCTGTGTTTGAGTATTCATCAGGCAAATGCTTCAGGTGGACAGACAGTAGTCAGGACTCAGGAGTCATACAGTGAAACATCTTTAACTCACTGAAAACTCTTTAAGATTATATTTGAGGAAAAATAAAATAATAGATAGCAAAATAACCACACAATGGATGCAGTAATTAATGTCGTTTCTGTCTTTTGGTCAACTTGTCTTTTAAATTTGGTCTATATTTCATTATTTTATTCAATTCTGATTGGTTAATTGGAATGCTGTTCCAGGATCAACAAGGATGCTGATCCAGGAACATGTTGTACTTGGGGAAATCACGGTCACCATGCGGGTCACTGGAAGACACTAGGGCTGATGTGGTTCATGAAAAGACAGTGAGGATGATGATGGTCACAAGAAGACATTGGGACTGGTGAGGATCATCAGAAAGCACTGAGGCTGGTGAGGGTCACTGGAAAACACATTGTGTTTTATTGTCTCTTTGAATGAAACAAATCTACTGATGTTTGTACATATATATACAGTATATATATATATATATATATTATTTTTTTTTCTCACAAATGATTAAGTGAAAAGGAAAAGGTGACATTGCAGATTTTTATTATCCCAACAATCATATAATTTCTGTCACAATTGTATATTTCCGAACATTCCTTTGCAAATACTGTAACAATCCAGTGAGATGTTTGCATGAGTCCTGCAACAGATGGCATGACCCACACACCATCAAGTCACTGAGTCAATCTGGGATTACATGAAGAGACAGAAGCAACTGAGACAGACTAAATGTTTAGAAGCCATTGGACCATTGGATAAATCTCCATGCAAAACTACTGCACTGTAAAAAAAGAAAAAAAAAAGAAAAATGTTTTATGCATTTGTAAAATGTTATAAAGTAAGGATGTTTGTTTTGTTTTTTTAAATAATGTCATATATACATTTGATCAATTAAGTTATATTACCTAATTCAAATCAATATTTGGTATGGCCACACTTTTTTCTTAGGTACATTTGCAGGCAGTTTTAAAGGTACTTTGCAGGTAAATCAATATTTGCTCAGAATTTTATATTTAAACCATTAATCTCATAACATTATTTATGCAACTGCAGTGTAAATGCAACTGAGCTGCAATAAACATGTGAAGCTTTGGAAATCACTGAAACCTGTTTTTTTTTTCTTCTTCTTCTTCCTGTGGTTCCGACCAAACACTATAGAAAATAGAAAATGCGGAACAGTCAGAACAGGTTAAGTTGGTTATTTTTAATATAACAGCGTTTCATTTCTCTTGCATACAGCAGGTGTCGCTGCTGGACCTCTACATTTTACTCTGGAGAACAAATGCGCACCATATATGGCGAATTCCAATTATCAATTATGTCTTACCAGTTATGTATAAAATTAAATATAATTACTGTCATAATTAGTAGGCTAAGAAATAAACGATATTTGATCAAAATATGCTGTTAACACATTTTAGCATGTCCTCAAGTAAAAAGGATGTAAAAACAGGTGATGCAATCAATTAATATATATAATACGAATTAGTTTTGTAAATAATAAATGGTAATGGATTTTATGGATTAAGTAATGCAGGTTCTAACTGAATACAAAAAGAGCACCCATATATATATATTTTTGTAACATTTAATCATTGAAGGAAACCATGGATTTTTGTAGCAGAAAAATATAACATTATCCAGAATCTTAATGACTTCTTCTTCTTCTTAATGATTGGTAATAATAACGCCATGCATCAGAAGTACAATGATTGTCTTTTTCCTCAGCGAGAGAGCGGTCATAAGAAATAGCCTACATGTACCAGATGTCCTCAGCGCACTTGCGCATTGGTGTCTTCAAATGGACACGCCTCTTGTCTCCAGTCATCCTAAATCCAAAATAGCCCAAACGGAACGATACCGACATCACATGAAACCATTTGTGAGAGGAGACAAATGTTTATTCAGATGCAGTCATAACCCGAGACCTGGCATACGACACACAGCTCCAGCTTTCGTGTCTGATTCCAGGGATGACATCTGGCCAGTGATGCAGAGGGCATAATGCATGCGGCATCATTGGTCACAGAGACACTGCTGAAAGGGACAGCTCGAGATTTTTTGGGCTAAATAAATCCGGCCTGTTATTTTTATTCATTTATTCATATTTAACCGGGACTATGTCGTTGTTCGGTGTTCACACTCGTAACAAGAGAGATACGCATGAAATCGCATTGGAATTATAAATAAGAGGAAATAGACGCAACACGTTGTTGGCTGGTCATCAGGGGCTCAAGGTGTCATTCAGTCTTCATTCAGTAAGTACAGAAGTGTCATTGCCTTAAATGTGAATCGCTTCCTTAAGTAATAAGCGCACATGTCAGCATCTGTCCTGCACGATCCAAAACCAAAGACATCCAAGCTACAAAAAAACAAACAAACACCTAATGCAGGTTATTAATTTATTTAGCCTATTTATTTATTTATTATGGATTAACATTTAAACTTGCGCTTCTGGGGCTTGTACAATTTACAAATCCACATTTACCTGTACATACCACCGTGGCATAATTGACATTTTAACCAATTTCGTGTTTTGTTTTTAAATGACTGAGCAGTGATGAGTGTTGATGTTTAGCTCGTGACAAAGTACAGCGGTATCGCTATGCTAGAAATAGGGGTTAATTCAGAACAATTGGGTCTCAGTCATCTCAGTGTCAAAAAAGTGTCCCAATTTGCCTGGATTTATTAAGCTGACAAAAGATGCCGTTCTTAGTTAAAGGGGTCATATGATGCGATTTCATTTTTTCCTTTCTCTTTGAAAACCTTTTTGAACATTGTGAAAATTCATGCTTAACAAAGCAACCAGCAACAATCATTTTATGTTGCTTTGTTAAGCATGGATTTTTTTTTTTTAAGATATAATATAACCGGAGCATTCTTTTTTTGTTTCATTGTAACTAGAAAATATTGTTAAAAATCCAGCTTTATGTCAGTTTGTGACTTTTATGACATTCCGTGTAAGACCTTGTTTCATTTTCATTTATTGCTTGCACATTTTGCTGTATGTGGTTGGATGATTTTTAGTCAATTAGATTGTTATTTTTATTTATTTATTTATTTGAATGTATGTTCAGAACATATAATTTGTATAATTTCCCTAGCTATCATTTATTCAGATAAAAATAAACAAATAAAATTTTGCGTGAAAAAAAAAATGCCTTAAGAAAAAATCTTGTTCGTCTTTAACCTGATGTGAAAGCAGCTGATTCCGGAAGTCAAGCACATGTTCTGCCACTGAAACTTCCTGAAGTGATTTTAGTGGAACTGAGCACTTTGTAAAAATAAATAAAGCACAATTAAAAGGCCATGCTTGAGGTTTAGTGTGTTTCTTAAAGGGGTCATATGATGTTGCTAAAAATAACATTATTTTGTGTATTTGGTTTAATGAAATGTGTTTATGCGGTTTAAGGTTAAAAAAACACGTTATTTTCCACATCCTGTACATTATTGTTTCTCCTCTTATGCCCCGCCTTTCTGAAACGCATCGATTTTTACAAAGCTCATCAGTCTGAAAAGCGAGGTGTGCTCTGATTGGCCAGCTATCCAGTGCGTTGTGATTGGCCGAATACCTCAAGCATGTGACGGAAATGTTACGCCCCTTAACATACTGTGATGCCCTGTCCGGCCGGCGTGTAACATAAAACCATGTCTGCATTTGTGATCGGAGAAATGACAAACAACAAGCGGTACTCTACACTGTTCAAATCTCGCGTTTGAATCATCAGTGGCAAATTCTTTAAATATAAAAAACGTACTTACAGTCTGTGAGTCAGAACAGCCGGCATTGTAGTCTACTCTACCAGGATCAGGAAACAGTCCTCCATAAAATGTGCTGCACACATCTGAATATTTGGGTTGAACTGTTCTGGAACAGTGTTGTAAATACAACTTAACCACTGATTTCTAGTCGTGTCCTCTTTTGGAAGACCAAACAAAGTAGTTTCGCTTTCACAATGAAACACAGCGTCACACGAGTGACGCCTTGAGTGAGCGGAGGCCGGTGAGCTTGAAAACGGCGCGGCCGGCGGATTCGACGAAGGAGCATCCAGCGAGCTTGTGGCAACCACATGTGACGACCCCGGGTTTCGTCCACGGTGAAAGCCGATCCGGCGATCCACAGCGCGAAGTTGATGTATTTCCTCAGCGACCAGCACGGATCAGCTCCAGGCATGACGAAGCGATATCGTCCTCTTTTGGAAGGCCAAACAAAGTAGTTTCGCTTCCACAACGAAACACAGCGTCTACACGGCATGGCGGCGGCGGCAACAACAATACTACAGCGAGAATAAAAGTTTCTAAAACATGCTCGCTCTGTCAGATATATAGACTGTAGATATTAGGGTATTTGTGTCATAAAACACTTCTTTGTCTTGTTTGGCAGTTTAAATGTTCGATAACAAAAACTGACTTTGGAAAATGTCAGCAAATATAAGCTAATGATCTCACTGATCTTATGTCTGCATGTGAACATTTATTCAATTGCATAATTAAGGCAACTTGTTCTATGTGAGTTCTGCTTATTTGACATTTGACATTGCGACAATGTCTTAAAATTCTGCATAGCTAAAATGGTCTCTTTGTTATTAGTAAACTCGACTAAAAGACTTTGCAAAGGCCCAATGTTTAGTGAAAGCCTCTTAATTAAGACCCAATCAATGCTTTCCTTGGGCTTTGAGTTTCAGGAGACTACTAATAATAATAGCTTAGACGTAACTGTACTCCCCAGTCTGAAGGGCTGAGTTTTAAGACTTTACACCAGTCTGCTGGCTAATTGAATCTGTAAAAGAAATCAAACAATACGGACATTTAAAAGCGAAGGAGCCTGGAATATTTCAGCGAATTCAATTTCACACTTATTCTTTTATTAATTTTTTAACTTGTCAAAGAAAATGTGATTACCTTTTACCAAGTCTACACTGGATAAGAGCATGACGTTGCTTAGAAAGTAAACTCATCATAATAAATGAAGTTGTCTATACTGGAGTCCCGAAATAAAACAGACGCAGACCCATTCTATTTCTGAAGGACTACATCCGTCTACACTGCTACATCCGACAACAGGACAAATAGATTTGAAATGTTCACACTGATGTATCCATACAGCCCTAAGACTTTGCATTGCATTGCTTTGCTTAAATTGATGCGCCCGGTAACTATGTAGATGTGAATGTGTTCTGAGTTGTTTTTGAGAGGTGTTGATAAGTTGCTAAGGTGTTCTGGTTGGTTGCTAGGGCAATGGTAAGCAGTTGCTTACTGGCCCAGGTCAACATTTTCTGCTTTCACAAGTACCTTGAGACATTTTTCATTTTTACTATATTTTTTAATCAGATCAATGTAGCCTTGTTGAGCATAAGAGAATTCTTTCAAAAACATTCAAACATCTTACTGACCCTAAATTGTAGAACAGTAGTGTGGGTATGTTGGTTTGTAGTATGAATACCTTCCTGGAAATACTGCATCCACCAAATTAGCATTGTCCTTTGACCCAGATGCTCTTTGATATTTGATACTCAAAACAACAGTGAAAGTAATTTGTAAAATTTTTGAATTTGATGACTCGGGTTCAAATCTATAGGATTTTTCCCAGGTGAAAACATTTAGTTGTGATTGTTTTCTAACACTATAAGAAAAGTTTGGCCCAAATGTACTGTGTTCATATGAAGGAATTTTCTCTATTGATTTTACACAGGTATTTTACCTATATTTAAATTTTTTCCCATACATTCCACATCAAACCACACGATTTGAGGTATCATTCATGCATGTAACACAAACGGTGCTGGATGAGTTATGTGTCAAAATTTGTTTGTTGAGATCTATAAACCTAAAGATGAGCAATAGTAAAGCCCAAAGTATACTTTGGCCGTCCGTGTGGCTTTTCATTATCTGCGTTATAAACCTGTAAAAATGTCCCTAAATTCTAATTAAAATATTCTCAAGGATTGTTAACAAATACATGCTTGACAGATTGGTTACTAAAAATATATAATTTGTACAGATCTTGAACAGTGCTTGAACAAGCCAAGGACAGTGATATTCATCACGACTGGAGCTTTTCAATGGTTTGGTGAGGCCTGTTAACTCAGCTATTCCTGAGGGAAGTTCATTCTGGTGTCGAGCAGATGCTCAACAACATCTGTGATCAAATCTGAGATTACAGCCTGTTTGCTTGTGCTGTGAGCATTTTGATTCAATTATATGAGTCAGATGACTGATTCTTTTCATGACTAGTTAGGCCCATTTTATTGCCATGTTGGGTTTTATATTGTCAGGGAATTTCTTACATAACTCATGATAAAGTCTTTATAGTTGTATTTTTTAAAGATTAACACTTTAAGGACCCATTAGTTAGCGATAACTAACAACAAGCAATTAATCTGATACAGTATTTAATCATATTTGTTAATGTTAGTTAATAAAAATGCAACTGTTAATCAGCTAACATTGCATTGTTAGTTCATGTTAGCTCAGGTCCCTTAAATAACAATAACAGACAGATTTTAATAATGTATTGCTAAATGTTGAAATTAACATTAACTAAGATTTAAATGCTTTAGAAGTATTGTTAGTTCATGTTAACATTAGTTATAATGTCGTCTAGTAATGTTAACAAATCAAACCTTATTGTAAAGTGTGTAACGAATCAGCTCATGGGAAATATGAATAATTAATCATAACTAGTTATAATTAATTATGAATATTTTAGATCCGCTGTATATATTTACTTGACCTCTCAGGGTCAACTGTCTTGTCAATTCTAAGAACGTTAATTTCCTGGTTAAGGGAAATAACTTCCTTACTGTACAATTCTACAAAAGCTTGTACAAAACACAAAATAAAATCCAGGCCTGGTCCTCTCTCGTCTTTCCCTGTCGTCACTCCTCCTTTATATCCTTCCGGAGCTCCTCCGTGAGACTCGAGACCGGTGAGTGGTGCAGGTGTCGCTCATTATCCATTAACTCCACCGGCCTCGCTCCGTTCCCACGGCTCTCGACCCCGCCCCCCTCGTCACAAATTTGTACAATTTTACAATTGTTATCTTCTTATAGAATCTGTTTTTTTTTCTTTCTCCATATTAGCTAGGGTAGATTGTTGGTACAATAGATGATGGGTAGTTTGTATCTTGTGAAGCTACACTGGCAGACATGGTGTGTTGTCAAACATATTTAAGAATGTTAATTCTCAGACTCATTGGAAGTACATGCCTGTTGTTATTATAATATTACATCGCTTCTCTCGCATTTCCAACCCGATCTCATGAAAGTGCGTATAAATAGTAAGCCAAATAAAAACGAAAACTCGTGGTATTGCTACGCAATGGGTAAGTTTAGGGTTGTGGGGTAGATGCGTATCATATGTACGCAAAAACTGCGTATCATATGCACGCCAACAAATTTCGTATCATATGCACGTGAAAACTGCGTATTATATGCACGCCAAACACATGCGTATCATATGCACGCCAAAGTCCATTTTTGCGTATCAATACCACGAGTTTTCGTTTTTATTATGGCTTGTTAACTGAGGGGGGTTACAGAGTATTTGTTAAATATAAAAACAAAATATATATTGTGTGTTTGAGTGGTCCAGACGCTACAAGTGTTACCTTTTAAAGATACATTTCTAGTTCAACGAGAGTTCACAGCGTTTGAGACGTGCTGTTTTATTACCACAGTCAATCAAGCAAAGGTCATGTGTACAATAATGGACTAAAATTGGAAGTCTATGGGGAACGTCATTGGACAGGATAGATGTAAAAATACACATTGTTTCAAAAGTACAGCCACGGGACTTTTCTGCAACACTAAATAATTTATGTAAGCACTTTAACAAACTGCACATTCCTGTTTTAACCATCTGGAATTTCCTGTCCAGTAGACTTTAAATTAAGTGTATTACTGCAAACATGGTTGTTGTTTATTTAAAAAAAACTGAGGGCCAAATCCAAATAATTTCTCTGGTAATCGACAGCACATCACAGATGCTGTCCATACTGTATTTTGAAGATGAACTGTTCTTTTAATAATATCCATAAACATGTCTTAGTGCTATGAAACCATCTATTCTCTACCTGTCTTTGTTTGTTGGATAGCTTTTAATTTTACTCTTTCCAGTTTTCATTCTCAGCTTGTGCTTTTGAGTATATATAGAATGGATTCTGAAGTTTGTGTTCACTGTGTGCTGTCCAGGCGTTCCCTGGAGGAAAAGGACAGACAGTCTGGAGTGAGTGTACTGTTTCCAGACTGCAGGATAGAGCCTAGAGAAGAGAGAACAAGAGAAGCACTTCCTACAGTATAACAGGAGTGAGCTTATTGTGTCACATCCCTCGCTTGCAGCAGAGACATCAAAGTTGTAAAATAACAAAATACTACTACTACTACTAATAACTATTTATTTTTAATAGTAGCTGAGCTGTCTTCAAAATAGTTTAGTTTCTAGTGTTGAGCAACTTTTTCCGCCCATTAAGTAGTGTTAGTGTAGCGTAACTAAATGCTACATTGCTGTTGTTTATAATGAAGGGTTTGCAACTTTACAGCTAAGATACCTGGGGTAATAATCAAATATAATGAACTTTTGATAAACCTTCCATATTTAGTCTAATTTGGAGTCCAAGCAAAGTTTAAAGATGTTTACTGTTTTAAGTCAAACCAATTTACTGTTTTCATTGGAAAGTCCTATTTAATTTTGTAACGTTGTTTGTAGTCACGGGAAGAAGGAGGCGGGAACCGGCGAACATTTAAACAAACTTTAATAATAAAATAAACACAAAATAGGACCGGGCTCGCATTTCACAATGCTTTCAAAGTGAAATGTCCAGTGAAGCTAAAAGCGCATTCTGTTTTATTTGAAACAGCATGTGAAATCTATCAACTTTTTAAACCGCTAGTTGTTGAACGTATCCCAGCAGTTCGGAAATTAAATGTCCCGTAAGTGGCGCTAATAGGTTTATGCTGTACCAGGTGAGCTACCGAGCAAGTTTACTAGATCAGAAAAGCTACATATGTGATGCAAATGTCAAAATGTATTCATTTACAAATCATGCACTATGGTAAAAGTGATAATATGCACAAATCTGCAAAGGAATAAAGTTTGTTGTTTTTTTACTGCCTCTAGTGGTCCTTTAAGCTTGAAACGGCAATGAATATTTATGTTTTTGGAAAAATGTAGAGGCAGTGTTACTGTGGGGGTAACTAACTTAAGTACAAGGGGTGATATAATTACTTTTAAATCCAATTGCAATATTACTTAGGTAGACAGAGGTATTATTGTTATTATTATAATTATGTAATGGCCCTCAGAAGTCAAAGTTTTGAGAGGCCATAGTAATTACAGCATTTTTAGCAGGTTAACCAGCCAAATCTTGACCCCTGTAATAGTTCACCAGAGAGAAATTGGAATGCAAATCGCAAAACATGCAGTGCTTTTTGAATTCTGAACACAACAATCTGTGAATTCAAACTTTCATGGCTACAAGTACTTGCATTTATATACTTGCACACTCTATAGACACAAATTATTTGTATGAGAGTAGTTTTAAAACATCCGACTTTTACAATGAGTAGATAAATGACTCTGAAAAGAGAATCAGGGTTTATATCAGACCTGCCTGTTATACTGATCAGACTTGGTCTTTAACTCAGTTTGATGTTTTGGTATGAATCTTTTCTAAAGACTAAATGAATAGTGTATCTGGCTCTGTGTGGTCTGAGTTTTGCAAAGAAGGATCCAACTAATATTTATGCCTTTCTTGTCATCCTTCAGTGGGATGACGTCTCAGCGTGTGTCCTGTCACATCGCCCCCTGCCCCATCTCCTGTGTCCCTCTCATCTGTCCATCTGTGGGGTCCTGACGCCAGCAGGGGCTCATGAGACGCTTTGTGTACTGTAAGGTGGTGCTGACCACCTCTCTGGTCTGGGTGCTAGTGGACGTCTTCCTGCTGCTGTACTTCAGTGAGTGCAACAAATGCGACAACAAGAAGGACCACTCACTCCTGCCTGCGCTCAGAGGTGAGTCTGACCGTTTAACAGAACACAAAGTTTTATTATTTACCTGCAGGGGTGCAGGTGTCCACTCTTCATACTTTCTACCTATAGCAGCAGGAGCAGCGAGCGTGCCTTCAGTGCAGCTGGAATTGTTATAGAAGAAAGAAGGACTGGATTAAAACTAGGGCTGCCCAGACTAAAGATTTTTCTAGTCGACTAGTTGTTAATTTAAGCCAACTAATCACACATTTATATTTATTTTAATTACTTAAATATGTACCATAATGAATATAGCTTGCTGCAAAGCACCGACAAAAGTAATGAGTATGAACATGTCAGGGAAAAGAAATAGTAAGGAGATATTTTAATTATTTATTAATAAACTAGTGTTTTCTCTTTCAGTGTCAGCTCCAAAGATAAAGCTGACGATGCTGACTCGCTATCTCTGCAGTACAGGGATGCGCCTTTAGAGAGCATTTTCACATTATGAATAATTACATAATGAGAGTGTTTTTGTTTTCGATTTGAATTGGTTTGTTTTAAAGTAGACATTTCAATATCTCTATAGATATATTTCTCATGTCATTTAGGCAAGCACCCTATACACTATGTTTCGGTTCATTTTTTGTGACGCGCTCCAGTTCACGGAGACGAGAGGCATAAAGCGCATCCTGTTAGTTGTCTTTAATTTACAAAAGCACAACATTTTGTTGATATCGTGAGTATACACAAATAAAAGCTTTTACAGGGTGATGAATGATGTGTTACTCTTATCTGAGCAAAAATGATGGCGTATTTTAAGTTGTTTCCACTGTTAGCACAGGAAAAAATGCCAGTGATCACGCCGTGATCTATCTATACGTGATACTGCCTCCGTGTCATGCAGTAAGCGCACTTTTCGTTTGGGATTTTACTTTTTTTATTAGTCTAACTGTTGGAAACTCTTGGAAATAAGAATAGTCATGCCCTGTGTTGAAGCCTTGATGTTTGATGCATAGCCTAGGTGTAAGGTAAGACAACCTGCATGTTTTGTTTTATTTAGATTGTGTAGCCCTAATGATAATATTAAAATTAACATTGTGATATTCTTGAAGTGTTTTATATCTATTGTATAAAACATTACATTATATTTATATTTATTGTAGGCAAGTCAAGTGTTGATCCGAGGGGCTAAATTGATCGAACATGTTGTCAACTCGCTATTGGCTGCTGGCCGCTTGGTCGTCACTTTAAAAAACAAAGACTTTAATTTAACAAACAAAAAATGCTCCAAACATTTTTCTAAATTAACTTAATAAAGAAATGAAAATAAATATAACCACTTTGCCATTAAAAACAAAACTGAACTATTTTAATGGCTGCATAGGTTGCTGCATATATATATATATATATACTTTTTATTTATATAGCACCTTTCCAAAACCCAAGGTCACTTTACAAGTCAGGTTTAAGGAACAGAAACAGATAAACATCAAAACCAGAAGACAGATCACATAGCAAGAGCTGAAAGTAATATACAAAGACCACTTACAAAGTTAGATTAGAGATACATGAGAACGTAGATAAACATCCATAACAGGTTACAAATTACAGATTGAGAGCTGAAGAGTAATACTCAGAGAAAAAATGTGTTTTTAAGAGGTTTTTGAAGGAGAGAAGGGAGGATGCTTGACGGATGTTTTGGGGAAGAGCATTCCACGATCTGGGAGCCACAACACTGAAAGCTCTAGATCCCATAGTCACCAGACGAAACTTAGGGGTGACTAACAATCCCTCACTAGAAGATCGTAACGAGCGGGCAGGAACATAAGGCAGAAGTAAGTCAGATAAATATGTAGGACCAAGGTTATGGAGAGCTTTATAAG